ATAAACAGATCAAGTAGTAAAACTCTGAGAGCCCTGAAATGTGCCATCTGCCCACTTCTTCCCCCCAAAATAATTATGGAATTAGGTTCTCCACCTAGCTGAATGAAAAGGAGTACTTGTGGCACCTTAGAGACTAACCAATTTATTTGAGCATAAGCTTTCGTGACCTACAGCTCACTTCATCGGATGCATACTGTGGAAAATACAGAAGATGTTTTTATACACACAGACCATGAAAAAATGGGTGATTATCACTACAAAAGGTTTTCTCTCCCCCCACCCCACTCTCCTGCTGGTAATAGCTTATCTAAAGTGATCACTCTCCTTACAATGTGTATGATAATCAAGGTGGGCCATTTCCAGCACAGATCCGATTTGTGCTGGAAATGGCCCACCTTGATTATCATACACGAAAGCTTATGCTCAAATAAATTGGTTAGTCTCTAAGGTGCCACAAGTACTCCTTTTCTTTTTGCGAATACAGACTAACACGGCTGTTACTCTGACACCTAGCTGAATGAGTCAGTACAAAGTTATATGGAAAACTTCTTTGTACAGTCAGTTTTCATTCTATGTTATTTGCATTACACTAATGACTAGAAGCCCCACTCAGGGATTGACGCTCCACAGTGCTAGCTGGTCTATAACAATATGGTAAAAAAATCATCATTTCTAATAGCTGCCCAGTGGAGTTCATGGCTTGGGAAGAGCTGGATTCCTCATTTCTTTGGAAGTCTAAAGCAGCATTTATTATATTACTGTGTGAAATTATAAAACTTTCTTTCTTTCTTTCTTTCTTTCTTTCTTTCTTTCTTTCTTTCTTTCTTTCTTTCTTTCTGAAATAAGATAACTTATATGCTTGAGGGCTTGAGTGAGACTTAATGGGTACACATGGGCAAAGATTCCAAAAGTGCCTGAGTAATTTTCAGAAGTGACTTAAGTGCTTAGGGCCAGATTTACAGAAGTATTATTTAGGTGCCTAAGATGCAGATAGGTGTCTAGTGGGATTTTCAAAAGCGGCTAAGTGAGATAGGTACCTAACTACCATTAACTTTGATTGAAAGGGGAGGGGCTGTTCTAGATTTGATTTGACAAATAGGCAAGAACTGGTTGAGAATTTGAAAGTGGAAGGCAGCTTAGGTGAAAGTGATCATGAAATGGTAGAGTTCATGATTCTCAGGAATGGTAGGAGGGAAAACAGCACAATAAAGATAATGAATTTCAAGAAGGCAGACTTTAGCAAACTTAGCGAGTTGGTAGGTTAGATTCCATGGGAAGCAAGTCTAAGGGGAAAAAAACAGTTCAAGAGAATTGTTAGTTTTTCAAAAAGACATTATTAAGGGCACAAGAGCAAACTCTCCCACTGTGTAGGAAAGATAGGAAGTATGGCAAGAGACCACCTCGTTGAACCAAACTCAAAAAAAGAGCCCTATAAAAAGTGGAAACTAGGTCAAATTACAAAGGATGCATCTAAACAAAAAACACAAGCATGTAGGGACAAATTTAGAAAGGTCAAGACACAAAACAAGATTAAACTAGCTAGAGACCTAAAGGGTAACAAGAAAACATCCTATAAATCCATTAGAAGCAAGAGGAAGTCAGGGTAGGTCCGTTACTTAATGGGGCGGGGGGAAAGAGGGGAAACAATAACAGAAAATGTGGAAATGGCAGAAGCATTAAATGACTTTTTTTATTTCAGTTTTCACTGGAAAAGGTAGTAGTGATCCACCACCTAACAAAGTGAATGCCAGTGAAACTGAGGTAGGATCAGAGACTAAACTAAGGATAAAACAAGTTAAAAATAATTTAGACAATTAAGATGTCTTCAGTTCACCAGGTCCTGATGAAATAAAAGGAGCGACAAGAGTAATGCCCACAGCAGGTCCTAACCCAGCCTGCCATTCACCTCCACTAGGGGAGGGAGGGTGGGTGCTGGCTTCCACTCTGCATGGAACAAAGAGACTTGCCCCACCCAGGTTTTGTACCTTTATGCCCTTCGGACCTCACATTCCTGGACGGGGGAGGGGGAGTTATTGCTGCAAAGCTGACCACCGAGCATCTTTTTTTACAACAGTTTCTGACCTCCTTCCTTCCCCGCCCATAAAGCAGAGCTGTCCTTCCTGGGTAAGCCCCAGACAAACTCTGCCCCACCTTAGTTGTGGTGCAGTTATTGTCTGGGTACACCACAAGAAGAACAGGTGACACTCAGGGTGGTTAAGCACTAAAATAAATTGCCCAGGGAGGTTGTGGAATCTCCATCATTGGAGATTTTTAAGATCAGGTTAGACAAACACCTGTCAGGTATGGTCTAGATCAGTGGTTCCCAAACTTGTTCTGCTGCTTGTGCAGGGAAAGCCCCTGGCAGGCCAGGCCGGTTTGTTTACCTGCCGCGTCCGCAGGTTCAGCCGATCGCGACTCCCAGTGGCCGCGGTTCACTGCTCCAGGCCAATGGGAGCTGCTGGAAGCAGCGGCCAGTACGTCTCTCAGCCCGCGCTGCTTCAGCAGCTCCCATTGGCCTGGAGCAGTGAACCGCGGCCAGTGGGAGCTGCAATCAGCCGAACCTGCTGACGCGGCAGGTAAACAAACCGGCCCGGCCCATTAGGGACTTTCCCTGCACAAGCGGAGCTACAAGTTTGGGAACCACTGGTCTATATAATACTTAGGGCTGCCATAAGTGCAGAGGACTGGACTAGATGACCTCTCGAGGTCCCTTCCAGTCCTACAGTTCTATGATTCTATGAAAGTCAAAGAGAGTTAGGTGCCCAATCTACTTAGTCACTTTTGAAAATCCCACTACAAACCTATATGAATCTTTAGGCACCTGAATACCTTTGTTTGTCTGGCCCTTAGTCATTTAAGAGCCTGAAAGGATTTGACTGCTAAGTCACTTTTGATAATCTTACCATTGGGCTTTCTGTTGGCCCTTTACACAAGAGTGGACAGCACTGGTTACGAATAACAAGTATCCTTACTGAAGGCACTTTAGTTAGAATAAGGGCTTGCCAGATCAGCCCCCAAGATTGATATATATGGTACTATTGGTCTTTGTTCAGTACCTGCTTCCAAACGAAAATCCTGTTTCTTTGTTCCTTTTAATTTTGAATACAGCACCTTAGGATACTTATAAGGTACCAACACACACAGACACAGATTGAATTAGCAAGTTATAATGGGTGGGTATTTTTGAATGATTGAATTGTGTCAAAGAAAACGGAGTTCCCATAAGTGATTACTCTACTTTGGATAAAACAAATGAAAATTAATAATAAATTAATAATTCTAGAGTTATCATTTGCAATTTTCATATTTTAAAGTAAACTTCAGAAATACTGACTTTTTTATATTACCAAGGATCCCATTTTCAGTTTTCTCTAAATAACTAACAGACAGACTTTAAATGTAACACTATTTATTAAATCTGAATCTTCAATACTTGCCATTCAAAATAGGGAAATAACAGGTGGCATTTATAAATTAATTTTTTTCATTGCAAAATATCTTCCTCTTGCCTCGTAGAAGGCTCTGATTTTCTTTTTTTTTTAAATTGCTTCTCTTATCATTGACTTGGATTGTTAAAAATAATAAAAACATCTGAATAAATGATATTACTTCACTGTCTGTTAAGTGACAATAAAGTCAAATGCAGATTGACAAAAATGTCCCAGTAGTACTGGGAAGTCAGATATCGTTTTGATTTACTTTGGATTTTAAGATGTTCTCATTTTTATAGTGATGTGAATATTTTATAATGTTGATCCAAACAATTAAACACATGTAGATTCCTGACACTTGCTTTAAAGGAATCAAAATTTCAATCTTCTTAGACTTTGGCATAAAGGTATCAGAAAAAATACAATTAACTGAGAAAGAAGGGTAGTAATAGGTAATCTAGCAGAAAAAATGTTACCCATTTGTTGTGAGATAATATGAAAATAAAACTCCAAGTTTTCTACTTAACATCAAGTGGTCCCACTGAAAGCAACGGCACTACTTGCAGAGTAAAGTACTACTCAACATGAGGAGGGTTTCTGAATCCAGCCTTTAATATTAGAGTGGGTCAACTAATTGCTTGTGAATAATATTTGCCTGCCTTTTCTTCTATATGTGAATCTTCACAGTCTGATTTCTGTAAATATAGAGCCAGATCTTCTGCGTGTGTAAATCAGCAGAACTCCATGGAAACCAATTGAGCTACAACTAGCTGAGCCCATAGTCTTTATCCATAAATATTTGCTGAATAATCTCCAGAATAATTTTCGGGCTCTCGGTTGTTCATAAAGTATTCATTGTCTGTTATTCACAGTGAGTGTTTGACCACTAAATATAGTTTGTGAACCCTGTTTTAGTAACAAACTTTTTACACAGGAAAATAACAAGTAGCAAAAAATAAAGAACAGCCAAAAACACATGCTGTGCACTTTTTAGTCCCAGTTTCTCAAGAAAGAATCATTGATGAAGTGAGCTGTAGCTCACGAAAGCTCATGCTCAAATAAATTGGTTAGTCTCTAAGGTGCCACAAGTCCTCCTTTTCACTGATGTTGAGAATTTATGAAATCATCAGATGTTGTAAACATCTGTTTGACATAAATTGTAAATACTGAATTACATGAACCCCCAAAACAATAGTGGAGCAAAGCCAACCTTTTTATTAAAAATATTTTTTTCCATCAGCTGGCTGCCTCTATTTAATATGATAAACCTATTGTCTGACTATTATATACGAGGCAGTGTAGCCCAGTGAACAGAGCACTGAACTGGTACTCAGGAGACCTGGTTCTAGCCCCAGCTCTGCCGCTGGCTGGCTGGGTGACCTTGAGCAAGCCATGTTACCAACCTGTACCACAGTTTCTCTGCCTGCAAAATGGGAATAATGATACTTATCTCCTTTGTAACGTGCTCTGAGATCGATGGATGAAAAACACGGTACTATTAATTATTATTCTTATTGCATATATAGACTTTATGACACGCAGACCAGCTTTACAAGCTCTCAGACTAACCTCCCTCAGCTGAACAGATGACCGCAATGGGGCTGAAGGGTCCATCTCCTTTGTTATTATATACACCAACTTTCACCTCAAAGGGAGTCAGAGGAGGCACACTTTCATCCCTATAGATGAACTTTGAAGCATCTGAGGATGTCACCATTTTTTCTTTCCACCCTCGTGTTCCATTCGGTCTGAAAGCCACAATGTATCCAAATCCTTCCCCATTCTGAAACTCTTCTGATACTGGCTAAAAAAAGGAAAGTTCAATTAATCAGCAGATATTTTAAACCTTATTACACTGGAAGCAATCACAATGAGCAAATATAAACTGGCTTCTTAACAGAGGTGATCATGTAAAGCAGCCGTAACAGAACTGTTCTCAGTACAGCTTACCTGGTGAGGGCAGTCTTTTCTATAGGTTTTGGTGAGGCAGACTGACATCAATGGACCAAAGACAAATTACACCAGCTGAGATTCTACCCCGGTGTATCTAATAAGTGGCTGATTCTGCCACCCTTACTCACACTGATTAATCTGCCCTGAATCGGATGAGACTGCTCACAGAGGAAGGCATGATTCTAAGTGCCAGGATCAGTCCTTAGCAACAAATCCAACTCTCTGATTTTTAGTTATCCAATTTTTGAGTGTTACTATTAAGAATAGCTACCATTTCTGGTGGAATTCCCTATGGAGAGGTAGGGAATATAACTGGAAATGGCAGAAATCTTTTAAAACGAAAGAAAATTTTAAGTGCACTCACTCTGCTGTGTATAATTAAAACATATGAAACACCTGGATGTTATTACTAATTTGGATAATGACTTTACCTAATGTAAGAAGCTGTGATGCATATTGTGATGTGTTACAAACAGTAATAGCAGAAAGATACTTATAGGACACAAGGTTAAATGAAAACAGGGGAAAGCACTGAAATCTTCTGCCTAATTGGAGAATGCATTCTCTCAGGCTGGTGAAAGTGGCTTCATTATGGTTTGCATTATTTGTTACGGAAATAATGGTTTCAGTTTAGGGCAAATCAATACAGAATGCCAAACTGAATGCTGTGTGATGGTGGCTGGGAAGATAACCTATTAGACAGATCCTCAGGTAGTGTAAATCAGCATAGAATGAAATTAGGTCAATTTACATCAATTAAGACTCTGGCCCTCTGTAGGCTTTTCAGTGTTCTCTCCTACCTTCCTACCAGAGGGAGGAGTTAATGTAGATGTAGTCTCTTTCTCACATGCTGAGTTAGCACTGCATCTTGTGCAGAATTCATAGCACATCTATTGAGGCAGATCAACTTTAGCAGACTGAGTGAGAAGGAAAGCAAAAATGAATAAACTTTACTTGGGGGCAGAGTGGTAGATTCTCCAAGATGTCCTCTCATCACATGGAAATGTGAACCTCTTGGAGAACTTAGCACACATTTAAGAAATGATATTTTGTGTTCATTGTTAGGATATAGATATTCAGGCCTGTCTGGAAAGGCCTATACTCTAAGAATTTAGGTGTATTCTTATCACTTAGCTAGTTATAGAGCTATAAAAGAAAGAATCAAAATCACTGTCTGCCGGTGTAAGGTCCTTCTCTCACTGTGACAGTCTGAGGCCCTGTTCTTAGGCTAAGGCCCCTGGCTAAGCAGCAGAGGCAGCCATAAGCTGGGAAGCGACTGGTCACATCCTCACATTCCAACCTAGTCACATTGAAATAAGGTGCTATTGGACTGTTAGGAATACACTCCTGTCCTGATAGTGCCTATCACCTCCAGAGAAAGGGAAGTGCTTAGAAGATGTGAAAGGAAACTTAGTTTGATAGCATCCTGTCTGGCAAGAACTCCCTTATCAATAGCTGGGATGTGAAATCCTCATTTCTGTGTTGTTCTATCATTGTTGTCCCCATTTCCCTATTGTTTGTCTGTATAATCTCTGTCTGGTTCTGTGATTGTTTCTGTCTGCTGTATAATTAATTTTGCTGGGTGTAAACTAATTAAGGTGGTGGGCTATAATTGGTAAAATAATCATGTTACAATATGTTAGGATTGGTTAGTTAAATTTCAGTAAAATGATTGGTTAAGGTATAGCTAAGCAGAACTCAAGTCAATCAAGAAGTAAGGGGGGGAAATGGGAACAGGGAGTGGGGGTGGGGAAATTGGAATCATGTTTTGCTAAGGGGGGGGAATGGGAACAGGGACACAGGTAAGGCTGGGAAGGGGGACACTAAGGAAGGAAACTGGAATCATGCTTGCTAGAAGTTCACCCCAATAAACATCGAATTGTTTCCACCTTTGGACTTTGGGTATTGTTGCTCTCTGTTCATGCAAGAAGGACCAGGGAAGTAAGTGGGTGAAGGAATAAGCCCCCTAACATTCATATCTTGATAAGATTTGCTGTAGGGAACCTCAGGACAGTACTCTTTACTTTGCCCTCAGTAAGTCAATATGAAACAGGGCCTTTAATCAAAAGGAGTCCTTACCTCCCATGCTATTACTAATTCATGCCGTCTTCCACTTCTGCCACTTACATTAGCTGGTGCTGTCTTTGGAACTATGAACAAAAAAGCGAAAAAAACAGAATGTCCAAGTTATTGAAGTTTTCCCCATAGTAATAACCAACTCCAGAAGACAGTAAACTGTCAAATCAGGTCAAAAATAACAAAAGACAGAACACTGCAGTAAAGAGAACTTGCTTGAGTTTCCTGATTGCATTTTAGGGAATCCTGCAAAAAATTTAGTCAGTTCAAACTGAATACAAACTGCTGAGAAGAGAAGAAATATTCTAGGAAACAAAGTTACTTTAAAAAACAATAACAACAACTGTTCTCCCCGTTATCCCACATTTTAATTTGCTGTTGATTTTTAAGATTATTTTGCTGGAATTATCCTATTAATATTTGTACATGTTTGTGTGTGTGTTTTTAAAGCACCTAGAAAAGCAAATGCCAGGAACTCTGAAGTATTTTAGTGTTCAGGGAAAAGGTTGCACACAGGAATATTGAAATTTGCATAAATTTTCATAAGTGACCAGTGAGTTGAGGTGTTTCAATTTCTGGGAGTCCAACCTGAGACACCTTCATGAGGCCTGATTTTCGTAAAGTGCCGAGCACTCATTATCATCTCAGGTTGGACACTCAACAAAAAAAGCACCCCAAATCACTAGTCTTTTTTGAAAATGTAGGCCATTAAGTTTTCTTGATTTGCTTTACAGATATGTATGAATTTATAGAACCAACACAGTAGCATATCTGAGAGGATATCAAAGCTACATAGAAAAAAATATTACAGCTATCATCAGTATGGGCTGGGTTACTGTATGCTTTCCCAATCTGGAAAATACTAGCTTTCCTTGGATTCATAGAATTTCTTTTCTCTCCTTTTCCACATCCACTGAAGCTCCTAAAATGACTTATGTGGCATGAATTTATGTACTGTGTGTGGTTTATGCCTACATTCTTTATCTAATTAAAAGCATTCTGGGATAGAAATCTTGTCTTTTCTTCCTCACACACTAGTACATACATCAACTACAGAAAGGTATTGTGAGGCATTAACCGTTAAGACCCTATTGTATGCAGTTTAGCTTATTTATTGGGTAGCACTGTGCCTTTGAACTACAAAGGGAAAAACATTTAAATAAATGCACACAGTTCCCTCTATTTCCTGTGTTGATCATTAAGGGCTTAAGTTCAATAATAGTATGGTAGACTTTAGATGCTGGAAGCTCACACAGACGTCAACATTGATTTGTATGGACTTTTGGAGCCTTTAGCAGGTTTCCACTGAAAAAAGAAGAGGTGGAAAAAAAGGGCTCAATTTTGACTTCATTTATCATTGATGTAACTCCACTGACTACATAGGAATTATTTCTGATTTACATTGATGTAAATGAGATGACAACCAGGACATTTGTGTGTCTATTTACATATACATATATTTTTAAAATACAAGTTTTGCTGTGGTGTCTGCAGCTCTCTCCTGAATGACCTGAGCAATTTCCAAGTATGAATTGCTTCTTTCCTGCTGAGGTATGTTCACCTAGGAAACACATATGTAGCTTTTCCCTCTTCATTTCCCCACTTGATCATCCTTAGTGACGCTCTATACAGTTATTCTCTGCCAGAAGCACTTGACCTACACGTGATCAGATGATTAAGTGATGCCTTGCAACCATATTACAAAAGAGGAGTGGAGAAGGAGAGCATTGAAGAGATAAATTGCAGCAGCTTACTGTTTTCTTTAATTGACTTGGATTGTTTTGCTCATCTCTTTGGCAAACATCTGAAAATCTTCCTAGTATCCTCATGAGACTACTTGTGGTCTCCTTCATTTCTAGCAGTTGGCACTCAGACACTGTATTTTTAATATTTATGATATGTTACCTCCTTGGTGTCTATGGGCACAGGGTCATTTGACAACCACGAATGAAGAAAGCAAAATTCGCCTCTCTGATCCTTACTCTGTAACTTTATTATGCATCCAGTAATGTCTCCCACATGAAACATACACTTTTATCAATGAAAGTTCCATTGAAAAAATGAGTGCAGTTTATGCAATAAATATAAATGTACACTGAAGAAAATTTTGCTGAGAAACTGTTAAATATCACAGTGTTTGGTAATATGATGCATGATTTGTAGTTGTAAGACTGCAATAAACATGATTTTGATAGTCAACTGGAAGTTAATTAACATGCAATAACCATCAAATCATCTCTACAGCAGAGTGTGGTGTTAAGCAAACTTAGGATCCAATTTTAAATCTTCCTAAGAATTACATCGATGAGGTTTCTTTGGTAGTATGAAGAGTGTATGCCTTGTTGACTTTGATGCTATGTTACCAATTCAGAACACTGTGCTCTTTTGAAGTATCCAACTTGAGGGCCTTATTTGTAGTTCAACCAGAAAGGAGGACCAGTGTCTTCTTTCTAGAGGATTCTTGATAATAGTCTAACAGACTGAAGCCCTACTTAAATGAATAAATGTTAAAAGAATAAACCTGTCAAAAGAATGAATCTCCTTTGCACCAAACTGTAAAATATACAGTCATACAGTGAAACTCTCTCAAATGAATAACCATTAAAAGAGTAAATGTGTCAAAGGAATAAATTTCTTCTGCACTGCACCAAACCACAATATATACAGTCACAGGGGAACACTCTGAAATGAATAACCATTAAAGGAAGAAAACTATTAAAAGAAAACATTTTTTCCAGTCACAAAGGCTGTATATTAGCAGTTTTCCACAGCAACATCACTTTTATATCACAGTATATAGTTTTATAACTGTATTTATTCACTCGTAAACTACGTTTATTGCCATATAATTAGTATCTTCCTGGTCTTCAAGATATTAATGATAAGCAGTGATACACACAGAGATACTTTTGCATTAAATATTGATGTGGTAGTGTACTAACCTAGCCAGAAAGAATCAATTTCTTCCTGTAAATGACGGAGGAATAAGGGCAGGACCCCGGAGTTAAAACCTCTATATTTTAGTGTCCATTAGAGGTCAGCAACATGGTGTTATGCGTTATGAATAAATTGGGCCTCCATTAGTAGTGGTGTGCCCCTTAACTGTACTACTGTTCTACAGAGTCACCGGTTTAATGCTAAGAGGAAAGAGTGCAACCTACTGGAATATGAATACCACGTTTTGGGACATGCATAGGAAGATCCCATCCAAACATACCACCTGGAAAATTGACTCTTTTTCTGAAGGTGCATAATTTATCTCTGTTGGAGGCAGTGCTTGTGGTAACATTACTTTTTACACAGTTCTGAAAGTGCTGGGAATGTGGGGTGGGTTGGACTATGTGTGTCAGAGTAAGTTATGATAATCTTCCAAAAGGTATTGATGTCCACGCCTCAAGTGACGTGGGACAAAACACTGCAGTCCTTACACAGGCGAAACTCCCAATGACTTCACTATGAATTTGGCAAGAATAAAAACAATGAGATTTGTCCCATGATGATTTGGCTAAAACTAACTGTAGGCCTGGCTGTAAAAGTGGTGATTTGTTTAAAATAAAATTAAACATGATAAAAACATACAAACACAAAAAAGCCTTTGCCTCTCACAGTAGCCTAAAAAGGAAAAAAAAAAAATCTAATGTTCTTGAAAAACCAACACAAGAAATTTAGTCTCGAACAGCTTTCTGAAGGATCTGACAGTGCTCTTAAAATATGAGGGAAGAAAGGGCTACATCTACATGACAGGAAAAAGGAGATGCACAAAGCCTAATGAAGTATAAACAAGAGGCAAGTTGTCCAAGAATAATGAATAACTTGTCCACACAAGCTAATTGTACTTTTATTAACAGTATTGGACTTACCTTTAGGAAAACACACACACAAACACACACATACATAGTATGAACTTTAATGAGGATTTTTATGTTGAATGGCTGTAGGATGTGGTGGAATTAGTATCAAAAGAGACCAATTATAATAATAAACATATCTTGAATGTTGCGCAGTAAAGTGATTAGAGTACATGCCTTCGCTGCACTGCCATAATGAGCTGAAATAGATGCTGACAACAACAGACTAATTCTAGCTCCCAGAAACTGGTTATTATACAGTAGGTTTTAGCAATTAAAATAATGTCAGCAGTGCACATCATTGGCCTAAGTCTGCTTCCAATAAAGCAAAAGGTAAAATTTCCATTGATGTCAATGGGAAGAGTGGTGCTGCACAGCACCTTTAAAAATCTCACCTACATATTTAAAATTAAAGTCATCTGAAAGTTTATGGAGATAGCACAGTATTATTAAAGTCAGCAGACTGTAACCTCTTTGTGGTTGGGGTCTATCTTCCTTCCTCTTTGTCAAACATTGGGCACCATGTTTTGGGGTGCATAATTGAAACGTCCTATGCCTGTCTTTCAGACATTTCATAGCTCCACTGATTTTTATGGCAGTTGTGGTAGCTCAGCTCTTCTGAAATGTAGGTCAATGTGTCTCCAGTTGAGCACCTAAAAACTGAAGCATCCCCAACACATTAGTGTGGTCACGTCCACAAATGCCATCCTCACGAATAATGTGGCATTAAGTTAATAAATAATAATACAATCAGTGTATGTGTTTCCCTTTTATGTATTTAAGGAAATATTAAACAACCTTCTTTCAATTATTCAAGTTATGATGTTGAAGGAGAGTAATGACCAATACATGTTTTAACAGGGTACCATGAGCAATTTATGATTATTTATTTGTATTACAGTAGCATCTAAATGCCATACCCAACATCAAAAGCCACTGTATGGGGCACTGTACAAACACGGAGGAGTGATCCTTGCCCTGAAGACATTACAATCTAAATAGACAAAATAGAAATAAGTATTGTTATGCTCTTATTTTTACATGGTGAACTGTTTACATGACCAAGATCACACAGAGAATTTCTGGCAGATCCAGGGACTGAACCCTGCCAGCTCGCTGCCTTACTCACAAACCCATGCTTCCTCTCCTTAGATGCTATCTTCATGAAGATATTTTTTTGCAAAAATATTATTTATATAAAGGTTGAAGCACCCCATCTAAAAAAA